TTTTTTTATAGATATGTTAAATATAATCAAAAATTTTGCAAATAAAGTGAAAGTTATGGTTTGGCTAGAAAAGCCCGGCGAGCGAAGCGAGCCAAATGAAATTGCATCATCATAATAAATCACATGAATATTTAATACACAATCACATGATCTACCAGTAATTTTTCCACCAGTTAAAATTTAGAAATTCTCTTTAAATCTTAAAAACTATTTATCATAATAATTATGATACTGTATGGTAGTATAAACCAACTTAATTAAAAAAAAAGTCAGAATTATTACAGTTCTAATTATACTATGACTATAGCTCCCTGCCATGTTTAATGTTAACTTGTTCATTAATAAAGTTTTTTACAAGAAAACTCACATTTCGTGGCTTAATGATGGGGAAAACCCGCATCATCCGGGTCACCCGGGTTGATCTGGGTCAAAACAACAGTACGACCCTAACCCGACGGGTCGGGTCATGCGGGTTACAAGTCATTAAAATGATCAATCCCGATTCGATTCAAAATTCGAGTCGGGTCGATCACCCGGGTCTGATCCGACCCGTACAGAGCACTAGGAATATTAAATTATTTTAATTATTTTTCCGTTCTTATCATCCTTGATCTAAGGATCTGCAAGGTGGAGTGCACAACTTCTGTTTCACTAATCTATTTAATCATCACAACTTTCTTATTAATGGTCACATGTGAGTTACTTCGCCACACACATCCATCTTCAAAGTTGAAAATTTCTCTTTATCAAAAACTTTAAGGTTGTATAACCATATTTACTCCATAAATGTTCATAGATATTTGAAGAATTCATCTAAAAATGATAAAAATGAAACGTTAATATTCGTTTCATTATAGAAATACCAATTAAAAAAAACTCCATATGAAATTACCCAAAAGAAATAAATTAAAAATGAACTCAGAATTCTTCGTAATGTTATCATTTGCTTTCAATTTTGTAAATAACCAATAAGCACTTTGACGTAGGGTTTATTTCACTGCCAAATTGGTATATTTCTTAGTGAAAACTTGCAAATTCCACGTGTCCAGAGTCTCATCCATCTAAAAAAAGAAAAATTGAAATCTGAAACATTAGAAAATGTTTCAATTAAGAAAAAATTTTCTTATTATATTCCAATACGTCTAAGTACCCAAAGAACCAAGCCGTCTAAAAAAGTAAAAGATAAACTATTAGAAATTGTTCGTTAAAATAAAAAAATTAAAGAAAAAAATAACTAACTTACTGAATTGTTGCGTCCTGAGAAGTGGCATTTTTCATGGATCAGTTATTTATTAGGCATATGATGTAATCATGTAATGAAAGGAACCAATTATGGATCAACTCAATTTTCAAGTGGGAGGACAGACACTTCATTCAGATTAATAAATTTTTTCAAACTTTCAAACTTTTTTTTCGTCATTTTCTAATTTTTTATTGCCGTGCGTATGTGCGTAAAATATTTATAAAAATTTAATTTATTTTATAAAAATACGTTTATACTACATATTTGATACTTCATAATATAATAATATAAAAAAATAAAAAACAGATTATACAAATTACAACCAAGAGCCTTGAAAAAAAAATAACTCATCAAGTAATATCCCTCGTACTAGATCTCAAACACTATCGTTAAAGAAATCTAAACTATAATTAAAATCATTCAAAAATGTAGTCCTTCCTCCCGAATGTGAATAATTCAAAGTAACCAAAATCGTCCAAAAAGGTACTAGTGAAGGATTCCATACGGAATAATTTAAGTAATAAAAAAATCAGACGTAATAATGTTGTTAATTTTATATAATGTGTGTACCCTAAATATCTAAGATAAAAAAAAAATATTATTATATTTTTTAAATTTTGTAATTTGTTAATAAAATTTTAACGTTTAAAAATAAATTCTTACTGTCAGGAAGTTCCAATTCATCTTGTTCTTCTGAATGAAGATTTGGATTGTTATGTGCTTCATCATCATCATCATCTATCAAATATATAATGTATTAAAATTAAAAAATCAATGAAAAAAAAATACTATAAAGTAATTATTATAAGAATTGTTTACGTACCATGCATTGCTCCAATCTTATAATCATTTTGAGTACCTAAAAAAAAATTAAATCAATATTTAATATTTTAATAAAATTATATTATAATTAACATAATTTTAGTTACTTTACTTGCCATTTTTTGAGCTTCTTTTAAATATATTGGATAACCTTTTACTGCTAACTAAATAATCATAAATATAAGTTATTCGTTTATTTCAAAATAAAATATATTATTTAATTACCTTTAAATAAGCTACTTATTTTTGAAGTACTATTTTTCTTACTACTTAATTTATCAAAATCATCAACTAAGAAAAGCAAAATAAGTTAATAAATAACGCTTCATTATATAATATTTAACTAAATGTAATTGTACTTACCATTATTAGGAATATGATAATCATATGATTTATTACTATGAAACGCTATAAAAAAATTAACAATGTTATCATTAATTTTTATAAATTAAAATTATATAAGAATTTATTTAATTCATACCTTCTTGTTCTTCTATTATAATATTTAAATTAAAAAATAAATATTATTAATTAAATATATTAATACACTCTTTAAGCAATTAATAAAAAGCAATAAATACCTTCTGTTGCATTTTTTGGTTCAGGAAGATTATCAAATTGATGAAGTTTACTTGTAAATAGTTTACTACTGCTAGTATGATTTTCTATTTCAGAATTATTATTTTCTTCTGGTTGAGTTAATGATTCATTTGATTTACTTCGGAAAAAAATGAGAGAAATTAATTTATTTTATCAAAGTGTTTTAATATCAGGTCTTTTTGATGGATCAGCATCCCAACATTGTTTCATCAAATTTTTATATTCTAAAGGAGTTCCTGGTACAATTTTTGGTCTTATACCATTAACAATATTCATTGCAAGATCATAATCATGTTCATAATTATTAAATGGTGGTTGTCCTGATGAAACTTCCCACATAAGCATTGCAATACTATAAATATCAGATTTAAAAGTCTGTTCTTTTCCAATAATAACCTCAGGTGCTATATAAGGAAGATTCCCATATATACTTTTTAATGGTTTATCTGCAGGTCCGCAAAATCCAAGGTCACTAATATAGAATGCATTACCAAGATTATATAATATATTTCCAGAATGCAAATCTCTATGAATTGCATTTTCTTCATGAATTCTTCGAAGTGCAAGTGTTATATCAGTAATAATTTGAATTCTTTCTTTCCATGTAAGTTGATTATGATTTTGTTGTAAATATTTTCTTAAATCTAAATCCAAATTATTCATTACAAGCATATAATTTCCATTTGACGGATCTTGTGTTAATCCAAAACATTGGACAATTTCACTCCATTTATTGCTTATATTTAAATGTGATTTAGCCTATAAAATAAACCATTTTAAAATTTTCAAATTAATTTGTCAACTGTTTTAATATTTAGATTACAAACCTCTTCAATCCAATTTTGATTTGCATTTTCAACATTTTCTAATCTTTTAAGTACTACACCATGAGCTCCATATCTTTTTAATTGCTGCCTTTCAGTATTCCATCCAATAAAATACCCATCAATCCAGATTGCCATATAAATTTCTGAAAATCCACCTTTTGTTAGATATTCAATATTTTGTAGATTATTATATGGAATCCATTCTGGTATTAGATGTGGGACAATTGTCTTCATTTGACATTCTTGTATTAAATTATCAATAATAACATTTCCAGATGTCCAATTTGAAAATTTTACTTTTAAATAATTTCGAACACAATATTCACAATATGTTATAGCTAAACATTCTTGGTTACAATTTTCACAAATTCTTTTTGTTCCTTCATTAAAAAGAAGTTTGTCATAATCATAAATTTTAGTTATTATTATTATTGCTTCAGATTTTTCATTTTCCGTAAGTGATTCATCATCAAGAAGTATTTGTTTTCTAAGTTCATAAAATGTATCACTATTAAGATTTTGATCTAATAATGCGTATGATCTATTAAGTGCATCATTAATTAATTTATTTTTACTATATGACATAATGAAATATTTTATGAGGCTTTAAATTTTTTTATAAAAATATGATTATCAATTTTTTAAATAAAAAAAAAAGAAAAGGTTGAAACCGGCGTTTTTAACTCCGAAGTCATACAGATTAATTAAAATAGCAATGTATAACCAAAATGAATGTTACATACTAAAGCAACATTGTACTCCTAAATTTGTGATATGCATGCAAATCAACGTTACGTAAAAAGAAAGACGTCATTATATAAATTACTAATTTGATAGGTTAAAATCTTTTTTTTTTTAATTTCTCTCTTTAATAAAAATTATCAAAAAGCTATAAGTATTACTATCCTTCCAGAAAAAGTCCCGCGGCTACAATAAAAATCTTTCACTTGACAATAAAAATTTTTTTTGGGAATATTAAGTTATTTTTCCGTTCTTATCATCCTTGATCTAAGGATCTGCAAGGTGAGGTGTACAACATCTGCTGCTACTGTTCCACTATCTATTTAATCACACTTTATTATTTATGGTTACCATAACCATGTGACTATCATTTTTACTTCGCCACCCGCAGCAGGTTGAAAATTTTTCATCAAAAACTTTAAGGTCATATAATATCTTATGTAACATCTTCTTTACTCCATAAAAGTTGAATAAAAAACACTCTTGTTGAATTTTATCAAAAAAAAAAAGCTTGGACTTCTTTATCATTTTTCCAAAATATTTCAACTTTTTGTTAAAACATCTTTGGTCATTTGGTCGATATTTCTCTATTTTCCAAAAATAAAAAAATTTACATAATCTATAAAAAAAAGAATAATAAAAGTTGATTTTAATAAGGAGAAACTCAAAAATTAATAAAATTTGTAACTCTTAAGTCTCTTCATATAACTTATTATCATTTTTTTTGACCATAAATTTTTTGGTGAAGAGTTTTTTTTTTTATTGTTTGTAATCTCTTATTACTCTTGTAATAACTATTAATGTAAAATATGTTTGTCAACAGTATAACTTCATAAGAATTTGGTATCCAGAGTTCAAACTAATCAGGTTTTACAATATCAAAAAAAAAAAAAAAAATTGAATGTCCATATGTAATAAAAGATTCTTTCTTTATTTTACTTAATATGATTGAAAAATTCAATTTACGTTATTATTAAATATTGCGTATCCTTTTAAATACTAATAAAAATGTTTTAAATTTCTTAATTCAATTTTAATTAATAATTCAGCACAGGTGGCTATAATACCGATTCAGTTTTTAAATGAGCTTTCTTATCTATTAAATCAATTTCATATTTTTAAATAATAAAGTCATTAAACAAATTAATTTAATCATTACCAACTTTCTTCCCGGACAAACTCTTAGTCCTCCACCAAACGAAATAAATGAATTTTTCTTAACCTTCAATCATCCATTTATCAGGATAAAATTTATTTGGTTCTTCCCAATATTCTTCATTATTATGAATACCGTCAATATTAATTCTAATAATTGTTTTACCATTGATAGCCTCCTATTTCATCATGTTTTCAAGACATCTTAATTTACGACTGAGAAAATGAGAGACACTTCTTTTACAATCGCTACACGATACGTTAAATTATGAAAATCATTTCGGTAACTGGACGTGTCTTGTCATCTTGAAGATTCTATCGATTTCGTTTAACATTTTCGTTTTAACATCTGGATAATTTGCAAGATAATAGATAATGAATGAAATAGTATTCGCAGTCTATTGAAGAAAAAAATAAAATTTAAAATAATATTCAAACCCAAAAATCTTGTCAAATATTTGACAAAAGTACAGTACTAAAAATATACTCACGGTATCATTTCCAGCAATTATTCCATCGAAAATAATAACACGGATTTCAAGATCAGTCATAGGTCTTTATCATCAATTTTATTATAGTTTATACCACGTGATATATTTGCAGTAATTATCGATATCAAAGGTCATTTGGTAAAGGTTTATCTAATGGAGTATTGACTACATACATCCTTTTGATAATTGTATCCAATCCTTGATTTATAAATTTGATACTTTGAATAAAATCATCTTATTTATTCTTAAAATATGGAAAATAATGTCTTTAAAATGGAGAAACGAATTGAACATTAATAAATCCAAAAAATATTTACAAATTGCACAAACAAATTTTACATTCTTATCAACTAGTGCAGATTGACGTTCAGTTTTTTTCGTTCTCACTAGTAAGTTCGTCAAAATATCCAGACATAAATAAGATCTTTCACCAATTCATGAAATCCTCTACTATTTTTATCAGAAAATTTCCTAAATATATAGATTTTTTGATGAGGCTAATAAAGTTTTTTGATATATTCTATTCGATTTGGAGCTATAAAGCGTGTATCTAAATGGAACTCAAATAAATCATCATATTTTTTATGATTAGATTCGAAAAATTTTATGAGATTTTCACCATACAATATTTATAAAATTGAGGTAAATTTCCAGAATGTGAATGGAAAAAGACTAGGTAAAGGATTGATACGATTAAAATATTTATAATAATAATGTGTACATTAATTATCAATACGATACCTATCAATGAAAGGTAATCAAAATTTTCGAACAATTTTGAGATCATATTATAATATAATTAAATGAATTTTCTTGCTCGATAATAAATAAAAAAAAAAATATTTAAAAAATTAATTTATTTTCTTGATATAACCAAAACTTGAGAGAGTGATATATTTATATCAAATTTTTTTATCATATGGTAACCAAAAAAATTTTTTTTCCATTCTGGATAAATTTTTTCTTGGAATTTAACCGAATTTCCACTTAATTGGGTTTCAGATGATTAATTTAGCCAGATTGCTAACTTACAATAGACCAGTAATGAGATCGAAACAAAGAAAAGGACAAAACCCTATCTTATTAAATAACTAACATGCCGTTGGAAATATGTTATAGTGAATAAAATTATATGTGGGTTGAGTATTGACGTAATAATGTAATTATGATATGTCGATAAAGAAATTTTTTCTTATGTATTGAAAGATGAATTTAATAATAATAAGTAATAATAGTAACAGCAGTAGTAGTAGGTAGTAATAGTAAAAATTATTATTAAAAAAAAAAAATTAAAAGAATGCAAAAGGACAAAAGATCGCCGATTATAGAAAATTCATTCGGATAATCAAACTCTTTAAAAGGAATAATAAATGACGGATTAGTAGTTTAACTATTTTTAAATTGATGTATTCATATGTATTAATAGACGTGAAATATCAAATGCAAATAAATTGATGCACTTATGTTTGCGTTAAGAAAACAAAACATTCGAAGAATAAAAATTTAATTTAGCCGAAGATTTCAGGAAACATGATTCGACATTACTTGTCGATATTGCGATCCTTTTTTTTTTAACTAACAAGCATATAATTTTGGATCGTGTGTTAAACCATAAGATTGGATATCATTGGCTCATTGCATCTACTGCTTATATTATAAGTGTATTTACCTACAATAAATTATATTTTAATGTTATTGGCTAACTGAAACATTTTAAATTACAAACCTCTTCAAACCAACTTTGACTTGCACTTTCAACATTTTCTAACCTTATAAGTATTATTTTCTGATCTCCAAGTCTTTCTTTAGAATTCCATTCAATAAATTTTCCTTAATCCAAACTACACTGCTGTATAAATTCTGAGCATCCACCTTTTGTTAAATATTTAATATTTTTGTAAATTATTAAATGGAATTCACTCTACTATTTTTATAGTGATATTTTTTTATTTGACATTCTTGTATTAAATTATCAATATTATTAATTCTAGATGTCAAATTTGAAATTTTGCTTTTAAATAATTTCGAACACAATGTTCACAATATGTTGTCTTAGTCACAATTTTCACAAATTCTTTGTTATTATTAAACAATCTTTGCTTAATCTTAAGATTTAGTTATTATTTTAGATTTTTCATTTTCTGTAAGAAGATTCGTCGTCAAGAATCAATTGTTTTCTAAATTCATATTGTTTGTGTATTGTGAATTTTGTGATATATTAAGACATATGATTATTAATTATAGTACAAATCTTTTTAACAGCAGACATAATGTAAGTGAAAATATATTATAAAACTTTAAAAGTTTATTTATAAAATTTGAAAAAGAAAAAGAAATAGCTGAGCCGGTATCTTTAACATCGAAATCTACATAAAAATAAATTGGTGTAACTGACATTTTTAGATTGTCCCATGATTCCTATGACCCTATGACATAAAATTAATTGTACGATACGCCTGTATAAAATATTGGACTTGTTTATAATAATTTTCCGTACTCTAACGGGGATCAACGGGCTACCACTACTAGTTCTATTTATCTAAATAATTATGTGAAAAACAAAGCACTGCCTAAAAAATTTAATATGAATATATACAGTAAATGATTAGTATTTGTTTATATTTGGTTACAGGTACGAGATTGTCACATACAATTCGTACCAACGTACCAACGTAATAATGATCCAAATAGTAACATTGCTATGGTGGCGTTGGTATGAGTTGTATATATAGATGACAATCAACCACTTTTACCATTCACCCATATAATCTGTTTTGATTTTTAAATTTTTTATTATTTGTAATTATTTTATATTATATAATCTAATAATTTATAAATATTTTCCCAAAATAGTGAGTTTTGACAATTTTTACTGAGGTAATAACTTAATGACGCAATATCATCTGATATACTTACTGTATTACTATTTTAACGAATTATAAAATTATTAAAATAATATCTTCCGCAAATGATATTTAACTAACCTCATTCGGTACTTTCATGATTTAACTATATTATTTCAAAATTAATTAAAATAACTCATATCGTATAAGCGTAATGATTGTTTCTGATCATGTGATATTAAGATCTCTCACCGTATTATCTAACGTAGATACTTAAAGTTAAATATTTTACAGGAATATACTGTATTAAATATGTTAAAATGGATTTCATGATATAATAGTATAAATTATTTATAAAGTGTAATTTGACGAGCAGTCTTTAAAAGGTTATAATGTAAAAAAATAGAATTTTAAAGAAATCAGAAATTTTTTTACAAATAAGCCAAAAGAAATTATTAAATACATTGTAAATAACGATGTTGTAAAAGGACGGTTATTTATACTGCGGATTTTAATAACTTACACGACGATGTTAAAAAAATTGAGCCTTTATTATTTAGAATCATTGATAATATATATTTAGTTTTTTTTAAAAAAATAATCAATTAATAAAAGAATTTTTACAGGATTAAAAAAAATCATTTCAGGAATATTTTGAACATTTCATTTAATTAAAGTGAATAAATCGCCTAAAGTCTTTTTTCCCTTTACTGAGATACTTTCAACAAATATATTAAACTAAATTTAAACTCGCGTTCTTTATGCCAATAATAATGCCGTAATCAATTTACAAAGTTCTTTGCATATTTGAATTGTACAAACATTTACTGTATTCAAAATATAATGATTTAAATTCAAAACTTTTTATATGTATAATACTTGATTTATTTAAGTGAAAAGATGGTTCCTACAAATAAATCATTTATTTATCAGTGAATGTTCGTTCTATGACCAAATTTTTTGCGTAGTTTCACCTTGCCGAGTTTGTATTTGCAATGTAAAATTAACTATTTTTAAACTATTTAAAATTACATAGAAACTTTTTTATAAAACATTACCAGATTCAAAAGGAATGTTCGTATTAAGCTTCTTTTTTAAATTTGATACTTGTAAGACCATAAAATTATATTCAGTAGATTTGAGAAATAATTAAATAGTCGAATTTAGAGATTCCAAATAAGTGATTTATCTGGAATTCCTTGATTATACAATAAATTAAACTTTATTAAGCTTTTTTTTTTTACATCTAAATTATTTATTTATTTATTTCTTTTTTTTGTACTAAAATAAGTTCATTTAAATACACTTAAAATTAACACGCAATGTATTTTTTTTTTTTATTTATTAACCCTTTAAAAAGAAAAAATAGGGTTTCATGAATGTTTTATACGAGATAGCAAAATACCATTTTATTATAAATTAAATGTTGCTGTTGGACGTTTACGAGGCATTTCAATAATGTATAAGCATCATGTGATTAGTCATCTGATTGGTCCCAGAACTATGGTTACCGTAATTTTTTATGGATATGTTTAGCTATTAAATGTTACCCACTTTAAATAAAACGTTGCTTGTATGGACATGAAATGATTTAAAAATTTAATTCATAAAATATATTTGATTTATTTGACGAAAACGTATTTAATACTATGCACTGATATCTTATAATATATATGATAAAAAAAAAATCAAATGTAACAATGTCGTTTAATTTATACAACATTTGTACCTAAACATCTATAATATTAAATTGTAACAATTTAAGTTAATAAAATTCAACATTTAAAAATAAATTCTTAGTTAGGAAGTTCCAATTCATCTTGCTCTTCTGAATGAAGATTCGGATTGTTAAACGTATCATCTTCGTCTATCAAATATATAATGCGTTAAAATTAATAAATAATGAAAAAAAAATACTATAAAGTAATTATATAAGAATTGTTTACGCACCATTATCTTTAATTTGATGATTCATTGTTTGCTGCTGCATTGTTTCAATTTTATAATCATTTTGAGTATCTAAAAAAAAATTAAATAATATTTAATATTAAAATATTATAATAATGAAATTAACCTAATTTAATTACTTTACTTGCCATTTTTTGAGCTTCTTTTAAATATGTTGGATAACTTTTTGCTGCCAGCTAGATAATCATAAATATAAGTTATTCGTTTATTTCAAAATAAAATATATTATTTAATTACCTTTAAATAAGCTACTTATTTTTGAAGTACTATTTTTCTTACTACTAAATTTATTAAAATCATCAACTAAAAAAGCAAAATAAGTCAATAAATAACGCTTCATTATATAATATTAACTAAATGTAATTGTACTTACCATTATTAGGAATATGAAAATCATCATATGATTTATTACTATGAAACGCTATAAAAAATTAACAATGTTATCATAAATTAAAATTATATAAGAATTTGTTTAATTTATACCTTCTTGTTCGTCTATTATAATAATTAAATTAAAAAAAATAAACATTGCTAATTAAATATATTAATACACTCTTTAAGCAATTAATAAAAAGCAATAAATACCTTCTGTTGCATTTCTTGGTTCTGGAAGATTATCAAATTGATGAACTTTACTTGTAAATAGTTTGCTACTGTTAGTACAATTTTCTATTTCAAAATTATTATTTTGTTCTGGTTGAGTAAATGATTCATTTGATTTACTTTGATAAAATAAATTAATTTCATTCATTTTTTCCTTAAGTGTATAACTATCAGGTCTTTTTGATGGATCAGCATCCCAACATTGTTTCATTAAATTTTTATATTCTAAAGGAGTTCCTGGTACAATTTTTGGTCTTATACCATTAACGGTATTCATTGCAAGTTCATAATCATGTTCATAATTATTAAATGGTGGTTGTCCTGATGAAACTTCCCACATAAGCATAGCAATACTATAAATATCAGATTTAAAAGTAGTTTCTTTTCCTGCAATAACTTCTGGTGCAATATAAGGAAGATTTCCATATATACTTTTTAATGGTTTATCTGCAGGTCCACAAAATCCAAGGTCACTAATATAGAATGCATTACCAAGATCATATAATATATTTCCAGAATGCAAATCTCTATGAATTGCATTTTCATAATGAATTCTTTGAAGTGCAAGTGTTATATCGGTAATAATTTGAATTCTTTCTTTCCATGTAAGTTGATTATGATTTTGTTGTAAATATTTTCTTAAATCTATATTCAACTTATTCATTACAAGCATATAATTTCCATTTGATGGATCTTGTGTTAATCCAAAACATTGGACAACATCAGTCCATTTATTGCTTATATTTAAATGTGATTTAGCCTATAAAATAAACCATTATGAAATCTTCAACAAAAATTAATTTGTCAACTATTTTAATATTTAGATTACAAACCTCTTCAATCCAATTTTGATTTGCATTTTCAACATTTTCTAATATTTTGAGTATTACATATTGTCTTCCAATTCTTTTTAATTGTTGCCTTTCAGAATCCCATTCAATAAAATGCCCATTAATCCATATTGCCGTATAAATTTCTGAAAATCCACCTTTTGTTAGGTATTCAATATTTTGTATATTATTATATGGAATCCATTCTGGTATTAGCCCTGGGTTAATTGTTTTCATTTGACATTCTTGTATTAAATTATCAATAATAACATTTCCAGATGTCCAATTTGAAAAGTCTGCTTTTAAATAATTTCGAACACAATATTCACAATATGCTATAGCTAAACATTCTTGGTTACAATTTTCACAAATTCTTTTTGTTCCTTCATTAAAAGTAAGTTTGTTGAGATCATGAATTTCAGTTATTATTTTTATTGCTTCAGATTTTTCATTTTCCGTAAGTGATTCATCATCAAGAAGTATTTGTTTTCTAAATTCATATTGTTTGTGTATATCATTATGAATATTGTAATCTATTAATGCATATGATCTATTAAGTGCATTATTAATTAATTTATTATTACCATACGACATGATGAAATACGTTAATAAGGTTTTATAAATATATTTTATTGATTTTTTAAGTAAAAAAAAGAAAAGGATGAAACCGGTATTTTAACTCCGAATTTATACATATAAGAATAGTAATGTGTAGCCAAAATGAATGTTACAAAAAAGCAACATTGTACTACCTAAATTTATGACAATCGTTACATGTACGCCTTTATCTAATAATGTCATTAATTTTGAGGCGCAGTATTACAAAATTTTAATTGACTGCAGTCTGAAATGACCTTAAACTAGTGGATGATTTATTTGAATATATAACTGCGATCCGGAATGACGTTAAACTACCAATCATTAAATTTTAATTGGGTGATTCATTTTATCAGGTGATGATCTGCTAATTTCTGCGTCGGGGGACTCTGAGAAATTTAAACGATCCATTTTGGTGACGTATGGGAACGGAATAACTTTAGAATATTAAATTAGAAATTTTTAATTTTTATAATTTTAGAAATTTTGTTATCATACGTTTCTGAATTATTTAATTAGTTTCACAAAGAAGAAACTTTTATTTTATTGGTTATTTAATTCCATTTAAATAGGATTTGATTTTTATTTTTCATAACTTAGAAATTCTTTTTCTTTCTTGAATTTTTCATTTTTTGTTATTAATTTTATTATTTTCGTCATTTGAAACTTGGGAAATATGTATTTATCTACTAATAATAAAAACTCTTTCTGCATACCACTTATGTGGCAATAATTTACCAAATCATGCACGTAAAGGTGCGGGTGGTCCTTACAGTACAAAAGAAATATAATTTACTGTTTCAGTAGCTTAAAATCTTTTTTTTAATTTTCTCATTATTGAAAAATCATGTAAAAAGACAAACAATAAAGAATTACATCACGAACTAATATAAAAAATCCAACGTTTTTGTTAAGTACAGAAAGTAATTATCATCCTTTCAAAAAAAGTCCCAAAATTATAAATAAAAATCTTCCACTTAATAATAAAATTTTTTTTGGAATATTAACCGTTCTTGATCTAAGGAACTATAAGATGGAGGAATTAGGTACTACGAGTATTATAAGTTCAACATACCCTCGTATGACATTTAGTGCTATGTTTCTCATATTTCGAAGACTTAATCGATTGTACAAAAAATTCCCAACATTTGATTAGTTTAATTATCTAAAGCTTACACAAATGAAACAAACAATAATTTGCAATTGATAAAATAAAATATTTTTCCTCAGAAATTATTTGTATACCGTATATATCTGATAAAATAAGCGAAACAGGTATAAATTAAATTTTGCAAAATAAAAAAAAAATTAGCATTATTTGTATTACTTATCCATTTTTTTCATTATCATTGTACAGTACTGCAGTAACTGGTACTGCGTTCAACTAGTTATAACTTATAACTAGCCATTACTTTATCACCAGTATCCACGCCACGTTATACTAGGAAGGAGGAATTTGTTACGAAAATTTAATATGAAAGTATTGATATTTAATTGTAGGGTTTAAGATTGTTAGGCAAACGTATACAAATTATTCAATTTATTTTAATTTATTAGGGTTTTTATGTAATAAAATGAGTATATTAAAAAAAATCAAATTTATTAGAGTATAGATAATATGTAAGTTTTTATGAAACAAATAAAAATAAAAATTGAAAATAATAGAAATAAAGGTTGTAAGCAATAGACAATTATAATAGTATTAGATTCATTACTTATTGTTTATTATGTTTAAGATGCAAAATTTAATAAAATTCCCGAAAAAGCTTCTTGAATACTGTACATCACGACCCATCAATTATTTACCCTTTACAACAACACATACCCAACATTTCCTTGTCCTTCAACCCAAATGTTCACAATTTAAGAGTCCCTACCTATGAAGCATGTAAGAAACCTACTACCAGGTTTCCTCCCCTTCTCTCCTTTACCAGTTTTTTATATATCCTTTTCAAATTTTTTTTTTTTTTAAAAAAAAAAGCAATCTGAAGTAATCTGAATTTTTTTCTCATGAAAAAAAAGGGGCTTTAGTGATTTGGTGATCACAAGGAAATGATAACCAAAGGAGAAATCCATCACAAATCAGCCAATGAAACATTTTCCAGACGACATAAATTATTCCTTACATAATGATATCTTATTACTTCCTTATAGATACTGTATATATGAAAATTTCATTAAAAAATTTTTTAGTCATTTAATACTATCATTTTCAATACAAATACATATTTTATTTACATTTACGAAATAAGAAAATTTTTTTTCAGGCGCACGACTTTTAACATTTGGCAATACATCAGTTGTTATTTATCCATGAAAAATAAAATTATATAATATCATACGAAAATAAAAGATGTTATTATAAAAAAAAAAATAGAAAAAAAGAAATAATTCTTAAAATGGGCCAAACTCATATATAACTTACAAGTAAAAAGCAGGTTGGTTGTATAAAAGAAAATACTTTCACCTCATGCTTAGCATTTTTTTTTTGCAACAGGTTTAAATAATCAAGGCACTGCCACATATCGCTAAATAAATTTTTTTTTTTTATTTATGATCCAAATGGAGTAGATCAGTAGAAATCCTTAATCTTATTCAAACAGATTGGCTATTCTAAGAGATAAGTAATAAATTTTCACAGATCCAACCAAAAAAAAGCGTTTTATACTTAAGAATTTTCATGCTAAATAAAAAAATAAAATTTATCATCCTATATTTATATACATTACGTCATTTAAATGAATGAATATTATAATAACTGCGGTCTAAGGAGGTCATTAAGCATCAATATTTCCTAAGACGGTAATTATTGATTATATTGCGGCTGCAGGATTGTTTAAACTTAGTCACGGGGGGCTCATCAATTACTTTTCAAATTAAATTAAATTAATTTTAATTAAAAAGGAACGCATTCCATTACAAATTATATAATAAAAATATAAATATAAAAAAAAATAAATAAGACAAAGTAGGAGGGTGGAGCGCTACTCTGCAGTCTCTGTTCATTAATTATTAATGATTAATGGATCAGGATTATTTAAAATTTCACCCCTTAAACGTAAGAGTAGATCGTGACCAAAAAAGAGTAGTATTTATTGCAAGTGTTTTGAAGATCTTTGGATGGGAACTTCACGGAGTACATATATAAAAATAAATAACTATTACTTAAATAACATTTGCGTTACAAGGTACAAACAAGATAAAATAGGGAAAATGTAGGGCTTTGTTTTCTATCCTACGATAAAAATGATCAGAAAATGATCGTACAAATTTATAATTTAATCCGATACCATTTTCGATATTAATTTCCAGAAATTTCTTATGTAAGAATTCAATGCAAAAACAACCACCACACGGAGTTCGGACTAAATTTGGAAAATCCGTCTAGACAACATGCAGGTGTTGAAAAGAAATAAGATAAACGTGAAAGCATGAAAATCCATCATAAAATAAAAACTCGTAAGATTATTGTTATCAAGAAAAAGTATGATAAATATGATAAATATTTAACTCACCTAGTTAGGACTTCTACCTTTTTGCCAAAATCTGCTGGCAAGCTTTAAGTTTCCAAGCTGAATTCGAGCGGCTTAAACATAGTTTGTTTGTATTTATTTACGCCAGATCACAGAACGGTAACACAATAACACAATTTCTTGGCATTTGAATTTTTTGGTTTTGTGACCTTATTATTACATTAAATGTATTAAATGTATAAAATCATACATATGGACGTCAATGGCCAAAGGACGTATAAAGGAAAGCTGAACTACTTTACATCAAAAGATTAACTGATTTTAGAAACTGCCCATACTACTTGAGATTCTTCAAAGTCGAAAAAGATTTAAATCAGGGAATCGTATGGAAGAAGAAAAAATTTCGGCGATACACAAAAAAAGGTTACATAGAGATTTATTGTTTTGATAAAAAAAAAGAATGTAACAGTTACACATAATTAACCAATTTAAGCTCAGGGGTAATAAAAAATTCCCTAATATAGTAAATGAATTCGTTTATCATCTTCGTACGAACAAACAAACTATAATGTATAAAGTCGGCATTATTTTTTTTTTTAAGAGAAAAAAAAAAAAAATTTTTTTTTTTTTCAATAGCTGATAAAGTATTTCAAAAATGAGACTTCCAATAGTTCATGTCAGAATCTTAATATTCGCTATTAGTATAGCATGTTCGACTATAGGTATAAATAATAAAATTCATTGGTTTATAAAGCATTTAATTTGTATATATATTTAATACTTATATTGTAAATATACATATTTGTTAGACACGTTTGCTTTTGTTAGTATATACGCGTATCTTAATTATGGGTAATTTAAAACACTTAGTTTTTAAAACTTTTTTCTATTTACTTTGATTTCTTAATTCCTTTTTCTTCTTTAACATTAGTTTCAGCACCAAAGATGACTTGAATGATCTAAGGTGATTTAAAACATTTTAAAACTTTTCTGTCGGAATAATTTCAAATATTAATTTCTTAAATTTTTTAGAATTATCATATTTTCTTTGATTAATGATGCTCTTTCCCTTTTAATCGGTGGTAAGAAAAAATTATAGGTTTTTATTATTTATTCATATACAGTAATAATAATAATCTATCGTAATCATTATAATTTAGGATATTATCTTATTAGACTTGAATATATGTGGAATAATCCACCTAAAATTGTTGATTATGCTGTTTGTGGGTAGGTTTTTGAAATAAAAAACAAAAATAATTATTAACCAAATCGTAGAACCTTTTTTTCTAAAAATTTCTTTTATTTATTTTTTTAAAGTATTGAATTAGCTTTATGGATAATTTATGGTAAGTAAAATTTATATGTTATTAAATAAAGTCTAATTTTAATATATATAACATAAGTTTAAAATAATCTTATTATTTACAGCTGGCTTACAAAGCAAATTTCTCGACTTTGCTAATGTGCTATTAGCAATATCCTTTATCTATGGTATTTTAAATGTGATTTTATACTTCGTTCTTGGTATATTCTTAATTGAATTTAAACTAAGATTACGTAAATTTGGAGTGGATAAGCTTACTCCTTTAGGTCGCACGAACAATAATTCTGGAGTTGAAACGAATAATTCTGTAATTGAGGTTCGGGAACATAACTAGATAATTAATAATTATTAGAAATGTTATATGTATTATTTCTGTAACGATAACGTAATTAACATATCGCCATGCCATCGAAGAATATTACTTTTTCTTTTGTATAACCTTTTAATATTTCATGTAATAATAATATTTCATGTAATGATGTGATAAGAATCAACTTAATAGTTAATTGTTTATTAATAATATATAATTTCAATTACTAAATGCGAAAAGATTTTTTTTTCAGAAAAATGGAATTATTTATAAATATTTTTTATATTTTTTGTGAAAATGTGAAATGAATTTTTTTACTATAAATATATTACAAGATAAATTTATGTATGAAGTTTATCTAAATTTAATATATATATTTTTAACGATTACTTTATCAAAATTGAAAAATAAGATAATCATCATTATTTAATATCCTTGCAACAATCGCGAATGTGTGGATCGAATAAAATGTCTGCTTTGGCCAATTGTTAAAGTATGAGTCGCATTACTGATCGAATCTTCCGTTTATAAATATCATTCTTCTATAGTTAATTCAACCCGCCTCATTTATTTTACTTGGATGATAAATATTAGAATGTTTCATTCTATTTTCGTTTCCTATTAAAATGTTTGGAATTGAATCACCAGAATTAAGGATTCAAACTTTTATTAAGAAATATGCTCTGTATAAGCAAACGCCCTCAATTTACCATTACTTTATTATATTATTTTGGATGAATTCCTTTTTTTAATGTATATTATTATATTACAATGTAGTTTAAAATCGTTAATTCTATAAATTTGAATAGATGACAGAAAAATTGACAAGTGTTTTAAAAAAAATTAATTAGTTATCTTAAAATCATAAATTAAAATATAAAAAGTAGTAATATAATTTAATGCCACGAAATCTTAAAAAAAACGGGATACTGAAAACTTAATGTTCTCCCATATTATATTATAGTAAGAATATTTAAATTTAAGTTTGAGAAAGTAAAATACAGAAACTATGATAAAAAATGATCACTGCCATCGGAGATACCCTTGTTTTTTCTAATAATGTATTTATCATACAAATCATATATAGATTATATGGATTATACAATAACTTTATTACACACACAAACTAAATAAACTACTTGAAGTATAATAAATGCGTCTAACTTATTAATGCATGTAAATATAGAAAAAGTCTTTTGTATTTAAGTGATTTCAAAAAAAAAACATATTAAATAACTCGAGTTTGAATCAAGTCAGAACTTGGATCAAGTTAACTTTTAATTAGCAAAAGGTTCAAGTGGTGACATCGAAAATAAAGAAAAATTCTTCAAAGAAAATTTTATTTTCATTTTTTATTTATTTATTTATTTAGCAAAAGAATCAATGGAATTACTATATAAAAATCGAAAAAATTTTTTTTTTTTCTTTTTAAACTGAGTTGTATAAATTTCTCAGGATAAATAAATTTTTTCTTTGTCAAGTCGACGAATGAAATAACGAATACGCTTTCATTATTACTAATTATATAATAATGTATAGTAATTTGATTCAAAGAATTATGGTGATAATTTTATAAAGTACTTTTTAAGCAAGAAATTTTCTAGATGACTAGAGAACTCATGAATTATTATTGACTTTTTTTTTAGCAGTAATGAAAAATGTGAAAATTTAATATTTTTAGAGAAATCCTTTTTTTTTTGCAATTAATGGTCGTACGATTCCCTGTAAAAAGTCGATCCGTTTTTTTATTCCATCTTTTTCCGTAAAAGACTCAATTAATAACCTTTATACTGTATATCATGGAATTTATCGAATTATCCGTGAATGGATCCGTGAAAGGCTAGTTTTTACAAAAATAACGGATAAAATTTTTTATAGGGATTATTACACCACTATAGGTTGACTATTATGGAAAGGTATGATTTGCAAATGGAAAGGTTTTGATTTGTAATCAGTAAAAATGGGTGCCAACTTTCTAAAAAAGGAAACCACTTTGAAAAAGTTACGTTCGTACGTTATACTGGAAGTATCAGAACGAACCAGTAACCCATGCCTACCACTACCAATATCAATATGTATTTTTTTTCTATCAAAAATTGTGGGAGAGGAGGAAATTTTAAAAAAATAACACTGGAGGCTGCAGATTCTATCTAAACAGTAGTAGGTAGTTACAGTATGTGAATTTCCCATATTCCCTTTTTTTCCAATATTTTTTTTTATTTTTTATTTTATTTTGTTTATTTTTTAAAAAAAATTAACATCAATCTGCAATTTCATCATTAACATAGATAATCAAGAAATCATTTATATGCGGGTTGGCGTAAGTTTCTTTCATTACTTTTGCACATATTTCAAATTCCTGTTATAACTTTATGCCCCAATTATACTCTATGTATCGACATCTTTTTATAAAAACAAAATAAAAAAAAGACAAAGATGATCACTGCTGTGCAACTGTAGTGTACCTGTCTCTTATACACATCTAGATGTGTATAAGAGACAGATTATACTCTATGTATCGACATCTTTTTATAAAAACAAAATAAAAAAAAGACAAAGATGATCACTGCTGTGCAACTGTAGTGTACTGTACGAGTGTATGCACACGTATCATTGAAAATTTGTAAATTCCCGTCATGATATCCTTATTATCTGTTATTAAAGCGGATGATCAGATGATCATTTGTATGCGGATTTGCGAATGTTTTTCATTTCTTTTGCATATTTTCAACCTCCTATTATAGCTTTATGCCCCACAATTATGCATAAATAGTAAATTTTCGTAAAATAGAGTTATTATCCGTTATTAAAACGGATGATCAGATGATCATATATTTGAGATTGGCGTTACGGAATTTTACTATTTACAGTTTATGCATAATTGTGGGGCATAGAGTCAGATAACCTTATTATCTGTTATTAATATGGGATTGGCGTGCGTTCCTTTCATTTCTTTTGCATATTTTCAACCTTCCGTTATAACTTTATGCCTCAACAATTATGCATTAATTGTAAATTTCCGTAGAAAGAGTCAAACCTTATTATCTGTGATGAATACGGATTATCAGATGATCATTTATATGCGAATTGACGAATCGTTCTATAAAATTTGACCAGACCAATTTATATACAGTTATACAGTTTAAGGGTCTTTTCCCAGTAACTAAATGTAAAAAGGGGATTCATGTCCAGATTGTGAAACTTTGAAATAGTATATATTTGCCCCTAATTCCTTCCAGTTCTTTATCGTTTTTTTTATAAAACGAAAAATCAAATACTCATGTCTATTGTTCATTCTTCCCCTCATATTATATTAGATCGGAATCCATTGCCCCCTAAAAATGAAATTTCGCGAAGTGTTCGATCTGAATATTTTAAAATAGCGTACATATACTTTCAACTTTTTTATTAACCGATTATCAATACTAACCAATATTAATTTAGATTTTTTTTTTTTTTTTTACATATTTGCATGCGCTTAAATGAAATAGAACCCCACATCTTTATGAACCTAATGTTCCTATTAATAAAACAAAGCTACCTGATCCAAGTAATATCTGTTTTTATCGAATGTACTGTACATGTATATATTATCGTAACAAAACTTTTATATCAATTTTCTTTTATAATTTAGAGATTTGTATAATTGGAGCAGGAATGTCAGGTATAATATTCATAAATTTTCTGATTTTGTAACGGTGGGTTTAATCATGATAGTTTCTCAATTTTATCGTTATGATATCAACAGGTTTATTTGCCGCCTTACTCTTTGATATAGCTGGTCTTAATAATATCGAAGTGTTTGAATGTCAAGACCGTGTAGGTGGACGTGTTTTAACAAAATATTTTTCTGATGATACTAAAAATGATAAATTGTACGGCGAATTTGGAGCCATGAGATTACCAAAAGGCACAAATGATAGCAGCCATGGACACCAGATGGTATTCGATACTATTGATTATTTGAATTGCATAAATAAAGACGACATTGATTATGAAAAAGAATACAAAATTGAGCTTATTAATTTTATCTTTGACGATGATAAGCTCAAGTAAGTTTGTTTTATTACTTATTGAAAAATGATTGGTTAATTAAGAATTATTGATGAAACAATTAATTTAGTGGTCGATACTTTTACAACAATAAACGCGATCAATGCGGCAATATAATGACCCAGGGATACGCAGATAATCCTGCAAATTTCGATACGCTTGGTTTTACGAAATCAGTTGATAATAATTACAGACAACTTTATGAAGCATCCTTGAAGGATTTTTTTGACGATTTGGATAAAGACATTTTTAAAGGAGTTGAAAAACTTATGGACGTTGATGATGACAGCGTTTATACTTACCTCAAAAGATACCTTATTGGAAAAGTACTTAAAAAAGACATCGATGATACTATTGCCGCAATGGAGACGACAGAATCTGCAACAGGATTATTTAGACTTGCATTTACTGAAGCAGTGATGGATGGTTATACATTTTTACACAAAGATCAAGAATGGGAAACAATAAAATATGGAATGCAACGATTTCCTAATGCATTTAAGCCGACTCTTGAGAAGAAAAGGAATTACATAAAGTATAATCGTAAAGTTTGTAGACTGAAAGATGAAGGTGATAAAGGTGTACGAGTTTTTTGGGAAGGCGAAGGTGTACATGAAAAAAACTATGATAGGGTTATAGTTACTTGCCCATTTGGTGTCGTTTGTCAATGGGAACTAGGTTAGTCTTTAAAGACATGCATTTTTTGTTGTCATCTTCGATTTATTTATACTATTAACAAATATTTACAAAATCATATCATAGATAAATTAGATAATTGTGAAAAAATAGATATTTTGAAAAGACGTGCGATTCGAGAATTGAATTATGACAACGCTGCAAAAATCTTTTTAAGATTTAAATCTCGATTCTGGGAAGATCCAAAGAAGACTGACAATAAGTGCATCGTTGGAGGTAACTCATCGACAGACCTTCCAATTCGGAAAGTGATCTATCCATCCTATTATGTAGGAGATCCTATAGACAAAGAAGCGATCCTACTTGGTTCTTATACTTGGGCAAATGATGCAGCAAAATATGCTCCATATTCACAGGAAAAGAATGTTAATTTGTGTCTTGAAAAGCTTCAGATTCTCCATCCAGAGGTAAATTTAAAAAAAGATGAGTGGGTTCATGATAATGACCCTTGTCATGGTAATTCATCCATCTATTGGCCAAATGAACCAACTGCTGCTGGAGCATACGCTTATTTTGGTCCAAACCAATATAAGGAATTATTGTATCCAATGCTAAAAGAAAGTAATTCTAATATACACTGGGCTGGTGAACATACTGATATACATCATGCATGGATTATCGGTGCCTTGAATTCAGCTGTTAGAGTTGTTAAAGAAGTTCTAATTCAGACAGGTAATGAATGTTTATGGGAAAAATTATTGCACCATGAGTTGTTGCGTCATTGGGAATGGAAACCTACGAAAACTACGAAAAATTAAATTCAAATTAGCATTGTATTGAAGATAGTTTGTACGTATATCATGTCATTTTATTTATATTTTTTTTATTTTTTATTTTTATTTCTTAAAATGAACGAAGTTACAGTAAAAGTTTACGTATATTATGTCAATAAAATATAAAGTTTATTATCTGATTGTTTCAAAAGTCGTATGTTATATACTATATTCTTATAATCATATATTTCAGAATGAATCTTATAACATTTTCCTTTTTGCATTCTCGCTTGGGTATGTGATCCAATCATCATTCGTAAATCGTAATCTGAAAAAAAAATGTATATGACTGAATGATAACTGACATCCAAAAAAAGGCGAAATTGTTGTTAATATTGTATCAACATTAATGTTAACATATAAAAAATGATAATATCAATCCAAATAAAATTAGGGATTATGTAATAGATATTATAACACCCATTTTAACAAATGTTGAAACGATGATGGGTAGTTTTTATTATACATTAATAACCGAAAAAAAAATCTATTATATAACATGATTTAATTTAGATACTTCATTGATAAAAGCTGGATAAACCATATACTTTATATTATTTATTATTAAAAGTATTTCCTTGAAAATTTTTTAATAGTCTTCATTTATATTAAAATAAAATTTGTTAAAATAAACTTATAGACTATTGATAAACTTTTCAAGTCGTTTTTATTTTTATTTTTATTTTACCAATAATTAGTTAGTATACTTATAATTATTATAAACAAATCAAAAGAAAAAGAACAAAAATAAACTAAACTAAAAGATGAGACAATAAACGGTGAGGTAATTATGAGCGGAACTATTTAAAATCTAACCAACTAAACATTAAAAACGTTTATATAATTAACCCACTACCTCCCATATTCTGTTAAGAAAAGACGTGGGCAATATCACTTATTTTTACGTGGTTAATGGGTGATTGGCTAAAATTTTGTCACGTCAGTGGCAAAATTTATAGCCGAACACCCATTAATCCATTGAAAATAACAAGTGAAAATCTCCGATATCACATTTTTGTAATATGCAACAAGCTTAACTATACGTTATTTAAGATTGCCGTATCATAGTGTATTTACTTAACAGTTAAGCATTTTCAATTGTTTTATGCAATGTAAGTCATTAATAGTAAAAATTCTTTATATTCAAAAGAAAAAGAAATAAGGACTGTTAAATATTAACCAATAAAAATTTAGGTAGTTAATATATTCGTTTGTATTTATTCTGTATAATACTTTATTAGAGCATTGTATGAAAACTTTTTTAATTTTATTAATGTTTAAAAAATTGTGTGTAGCACGAATTTGCCAATCATTTTTAATTTAGTTGTCACATGAAAAAAATCCTACGTATCTAAATTTTAGTCCGACATGTGATGAGAACTATATAATTAGTCTGAAGTGTAACGAAGGACTATACATTTTTCCTCACGAGACTTTCTCGTCAAATCATATAAGGCTTAGGGATTTAACGGTCCAGTTTGGTCCGTCCTGGTTCGGTTTTCATCGGTCCTATAAAAAAAATTTGTAACAAATTTATTATTTTTTTTAAAAAAAAAAACTCTTTAAGAACGTTTACTAGGCATTTGGATGAGTTTGAATCGTTTCTACACGTGATGACGTCATATCCGGATGTCTGTGTAATTCCAATGAAATTATTCCGCTAATCCGCTCATCCCAGAAATTGAACCTATGTTCCTTAATGTTCCTTAATGTTCCTTAGATAACAGCACCTCGGACTTAAATCCTTAAATTAATTTCGTATACTGCGCCTGTATTTATTATTTGGTTTAATGAAATTATACGCATTTTTATATTATAAAAATGGTTGATATATTTATATTTAAACTTTAATGAATGCAATACTTGTTTAACCTTAGAAAAAATTGAAGGAATTTTATAAGTGTATAAAGTTGAAAATTATAAATAATTCTTTTTTTATAAAATTGACATAGTACATGTAAAGCTAGAGGAATTATTTTAACACATTCAAAAGAAGAAAATATTAATTTCGTTACACACATAATTATCTAACTCCGTTTATTGCCTGTGTCTAAATGATCTTTATTTGTTAGACAACGAGAATATATTTCACAATTTTAGAATTAAATATATGATCATTTCTTTAATATGCAGTTATTGCATGCATGCTGAAAATTAATGATTATATGGCTGACATCAAAACACGGCACAAATATAATCTACTCCTTCTCCTAACAATATACTATCACGTGACAAAAGATTTAACCAACATCTGTAAAAATATACAAGAGAACGTGTGGAAGTTACCTGTGCAGGATTCGTCAATAGTTTGTCTTTGCTGTGGAAGTGCTTTTTTTTTAGCCTTTTGTTTATCTAAGGAATTACGAAAATTCTTATCAATCACATCAATAGCTTGCTTAAAGTTACATTGTTTTAAGGCCATGGTGGACTTGGGCTTATCATCATCGTCTACATTGACTACTTATTTTCCTCACAACAATCTATATAACGAAGAACATTTAACAAATATCAAACATTATCAATCAGTTGCATGCATGTGTGTTATGTGTGTGGTGTTGTTTTGCTTTCCCTCACTCTTTTTTCAATAAAAATTATAAAATACAATTCCAATCAGAAAACAGACTAACCATCTTTGTACAACAAGGCAAAAATGATTTTATGATGATTATTGTGGAAGGTAGATCTTTCCCCTTTTTCTTCCTTCTCTCTCGTCCCCCTTTCCCTTTCCCCTTTCTCATTTTCTCTCAAGACGACACACAAGACTACAACTATCAACATCCGTCAAGGATACAATCAAAAGAAAAATGACATTATCAACTATTTCATCACTAGAACTCAGAAAAAAGATCAAACAAATGGAGGCAACGTATAACATGTTAGCTATAAAATATCAAGAACTTGAAAACTGCATGAAAAACAACAATAATCAACAAAAAGATACGAAACAAAACATTGTCAACCTCCAGACAAACGTTACTAGTTTGGAACAAAATTTCCAATTATACAAACAAACCCAAACTCAAATGAACCAAAAAACTAGATCTCATTATTAACAAAATAACAAATACATTTATACCATCTCAACCAAAACAATACCAATACGAAATTCTTTCCCTTTTTATCTTTGTCTATTACCAGATCAATGGCTTTTTGATTAATCCAAAATAATAGATTTCACACTGGTTACGAAAATTATAATTCTTCTCTTCTCCTTTTCTTTGAATATTTAGAATGGAAAACTGAAAAAAAGAAGATATAAAACTAATTAGCAAGAAAATCACCTCCAGGAATTGAACTTGGACACAGATATTGTGGAACCAACGGTGATGGATTTTGTTGAGTTGATAAGTTATTAAGGAAAGAAACTCAACAAAGGAATGAAATAAAGGATATCACATGTGAAGAAGGAAATCACATGAGATAGATCAAATGATCAAGAAAGGTAAATTTTACAAGACAAAGGATCTCTCTGACACCAATTAGCACCGTGCAATGCTTCATGGGCGATGCAAACGATCCCCTTGTAAAATTTATCTATCTAAGAATGATCAAATGATCAAGAAAGGGTAAATTTTTACAAGACAAAGGATCTCTCTGACACCAATTAGCACAGTGCAATGCTTCATGGGCGATGCAAACGATCCCCTTGTAAAAATTATCTATCTAAGAATGGCCAAGTATTCCCGAGTTGACCAAAGGGTAAAGATTACGTCTCCATGCTATATTTGGTAAGCCATGGACCTAGCTACGTAATATAAAATTATTTAATTAAATAATGTCTAAATTATTGGGAATTTTCAAAGGTATTTTTTAAATCAACTATCAAATCAATTTTATGTTTGTAAAAAGAAAGTGAAGATAAAAGAAATAATATTATGAAATGAGTTAACTCATAAAGAAAATCAAGAAAATAAAGAAGAGAATCAAGAAATAAAAGATTAATTGACATAGCAAGAGAATATTGTGATAATAATAAAAGTTTTGAAATAAGAAAATGTTTAAAAAGAGAGAGATTTGATAGAAGATTTGATGGATGAAATTGTTGGAGGAGTAGAGAGAGATTTGAGAGAGAGAGATTTAAGGAAAGGAAAAAGAAAGTATTAATTATGGCTTTTATCAATATCAAGAGCAAAATGAGTGTATTGGTGAGAAGATTTGTATATATGAATAAAAATACAAAAAGAATGTATAAGTAAGTAATGAATATTGATAAGTATTGAGAGGTAAATGGTTCAGCAGATTGAAGATGGTATGGAAAACATTTATCAAGAGGAATAGTATTTAAAGGAGTATTGATGAAATTTGCACACATTTGGTAAGACATTTTAGATTTTAGTAATATTTGAGAAAATTCAAATTGAAAATTTGGTTGAAAATTTGATTGTAAATTTGATTGTAAATTTGATTGTAATATATATTTGAAAAAAAATTGAAAGTTTGTTTGATTTTTATTTTCCCTTGAGAAAAATTTAAGGGTATATATATACTTGTAAAAACCCTTGATACATAGTGACTCATAAAAAAAGATTGAGATTATGTATGAGTCACATTGCGGCTTATAATACATACAATCTATAATATTGTGTAATTAATATATTATTTAACTAATATTTTGACTAATATCTATGATCATAATTTATTGATTTTATAAAATCTATTATCTTCAGTATTTTTTCGTAATATATCTCATTTTAAAACCACATAAAAAAATATATTTTACAATTCATATTACGCGTAACATTCAAAAATTTTGTGTAATTCGTGTTGGATTCTTTTGCAAAGATGTAAGTTGTGAATTTAATAATGTCATTAGGATTGTACAAGAGTTAAAGCTAAAAATCTCGGATGATTTTAACCAGATATATAAAAAATTCAGATTATCATAAATGATCAGATTATTGCACATCACAAGTTTAGAGTCTCTAAATTATCAAAATCATTTTAAGGTCTTTCGCAGAAATGAGTCATGGGTATGGTAGTACGGAAACTTTCCTGCAGATCGATTTTCTGCGGCTTGTGTAAATCGTCAAAACTAATATGATAAATTATTTCGTTCGCGTCCCATTTTACGTTCTAGGTTGGTTTATCTATTCTTGATTATACTATCCTAAACACCTTTAACAAAAATTGTTAGACACGATATATTTTCATTGTGGCTTTTTTCTTTATGAGTTGATTTAGTATAATTGAAAACTTTTATGTATTAATAGTTTTCAGAGATGTCGAAATTTGGCTGATTTTTTTTGGTCGTTTGTTAATTAACACACAATTAAAGTTTAAATTTTTGCTAAACTTAAACTTTTATTAAAATTAGTCATTTTTTCCCTTATTTCTCGAACTCGAACTACTACTAAGATATATTTGTCAAATCGAAATATTATTAACTTAGCGTTTCGTAGGAATATCTGTTAGGACGAAACTGGTCTTGGAGGTAAAGAAATTTTATTTTATTTTATTTTATTTATTATAGTAACGTATTAACATTTCTCTGCTATTATTTTATTTGTGGGAATACCGGACTTTAAAGTAAAGAAGTAGGGAAAGTGTTAGTTAATTCTTTAAGAAATGTTTAAAGTGTGGCTTAGATATAAAAGGTTGCTTTGAATTTGAATCGATCCATAATCTGAATCTTGTGTAACATCCAGATCTAGAGTTCATTTCATTTGGTTTTAGCATTATGGCAAAGGCTTTTAGTGAGGATTTGATGAAATGAAGGTTTTTCTGTAAAAGATTATTTTATATAAGCGGTACAAATTTGAATTTGTTGTTATATAAAGTTATAAACTATTATTTACTTGGACTCTTGGAGAATGATGTTAAAAGATTTAGAAGAAAAAGTACTGGGGCTAAAAAAAAATTTTAATAACTCTATGAGGATGTATATTTACTGTAGATGAAATTGCTGCTAAGATGACATTAGTATTGGAAATTTTGTTTCAATTACAACCATATAGAGATCTTTGGAATTATTACACGAAAAAAGTTAAGTTTATTTATTCTATATTTTAACAATTACTCTGCGTTAATAATTTTAAAGTTAGAAAAAGCTGCAAAGAAAAGAAATGATATTTTGCGTGGATATTATATTATAATCTTCAGAATGTATTTTCAATCTGAATGGTTAAATCTTTGTTGATGAAAGTGCAAAAGATGAACGAACTTCTTATCATCAACATATAGCCATTCATCACGAAATCATGTCAGCTATAGTATTAAAAAATTTGTATTTCCTATATTTCCAGCATTATCTTTAGGGATGCATTTATTTCACCGAATATCGTCATACTGAGGATTATTTAACCTACAATTGTTTCATCAACGGTCATTTCACTGATAGGAACATTTCATTGACAGGTTATATCACCGACGAATATATAATAGTTATTCGGCACGAAGTGCGAATAACTGTGATCAATATAACAAGCTACCTTCAGGTAGCGTCAGTTATTCGGCTCAAAGCGCCAAAAAAGTAATTTATCCAGAATCACGTGATTTGAAATATTGCGATTTAAAATAAAATTTTTGAGCATCCTTATCCTGGGCCACGGTCCAGATGCTTATCCTGGACCAGCAAATCTAATTGGATGAGATTGTTTTGTGTAACATTTGTCTTGGAAAAAAAAACAATTCGCGTTTTTTTTTAAAAAAAAGGTACGAAATGCCTTTTTTTAAAGCATTTAATACTACCATTTTAAAGTAATATGTTATTTAAAATTTGTACTTTGGTATGCATTTTATTAAACTTTATTAATAAATAAGTAAAATTGCATATATAACTTTATAAAAAAGGTCTTTACATTATTTTTTACTGTAATTTTATTATTAAAATTATTTTAACGTTAATATCAAAACAAAAGTACAAAGTAATAGTATTATATTAGCTTTAAAAGTTTTGTTATAAATATGTAATTTACAACCTTTTTTGAACAACTTTGCTTAACCCCAAAACTTAAAAAAAAAACACTTGATTTCCAGAATAATATCAATATATCATAAAACTCTTCAAAAAGAAAATAAAAAACATTTAGTATTATTATAAAACTACAATAAATACAATTAAAATTAAAATATACAAACTGAAATGAAATATGAAATACTAAGTACTAACATATCACAAAAAAGAATAGAGAAAGAGTGAAAGATAGGAAGAGTAAGAGATAAAATAAAGTATGCCGGAGTTATGTAATAAAAGGGCTGATTAGCCAATCAAAAGTTGACTGGTCCAGAATAAGCATCTGGACCGGTGGATCAGGTTAAGGATGGCCAAAATTTTTTAATTATAAAAATCACATGATACCGGGTAAATAAATAACTTTATAATAAAAGATTCATTGATTATTTAGTATAAGACTAGTTTTCTCCCCATATGATTTAACCCAGGTAACATCACCTACGTAAAATTAAATCATGTAGATTAGTTAGGGTTAGAGTTAGGGTTAGGGATTGGGTTAGGGGATTAAGATTAGGATTAGGATTAGGGTTAGGATTAGGATAAGGTTTGGGTTCGCTGGAGTTATTAAATTTGATGATGTCATTTTAAATTAAAATTTCCAGTTATAAAAGTTATAAATTTTATTTTTTAGTACAGGTGACGTCACCTAGGTGACATCTCCCAGAGAGAAAGTTAGCAAAATTCGATTATTTATTTTATTTTTTATTAATATTAATTACTCAATATTATTATACGCTAAATACATTTATTCAATGTATAACGTATAATTTCATATCATAATACTGCTTATATATACAATAAACAATGTATTTATACTTAATAAAAAAAATAATAACGTATTTAACATATAATATAGATCATTACTCTTAACATTAAAATTAGTTATAAAAATATATTAATAAACAAAAAAAATCATGCTTACAATTTGTGAAGCTGATTCAATAAAGTAAAAATAATAAAATTTGGTGAAATGATTTTAGGTGATATAATTTTTGGTGAATAGCCCTGTGAAAAATGATCAAATGATTTTCGGTGACCTCTGTCTGTAAGTTGACTGTCGGTGAAATAATTGTCGGTGAAAGAAATCAAATCCCTTATCTTTAGATGAAATGATGGTAATAAAGAGAGATTTACAAGATTTTGTATTACATGGTGTAAAATATTAGATCTAATATAAAGCTTATGAAAAAATAAAGTATGAAAGATTCATAATTCGGCAACATGTGTAATATTTTTATATTTAATTTCGGGTACAAAATGACATCGTATACAAAAATATCGTATTATAAAAAATTTTCAAATTGCGCTAAAAATCATAAATGTTATGTATTTTTTTTTTTACTGGGAAAAAATTTTTTTTTTTTTATATAAATTCGTTTTTATGTTTTACTTGGGGCACCCGTGGGTTCCAGCGGTGAAACTGCACATAAAATTTTAACAATTTAAAACTGTGGCACTTTTTGCCACATCATTTCATTTATCAAGAACGATACCCGTGGAATAACAATATTAATATACGGACCAGAACGATCATCACTTGATTAGTCAACTAAACTTTTAATTATACTTTTTATAAGCTTATTAGATCTAATATCAAATTCAGATTTTAATATCAAATTAATATAACTAATTAATTCTACATTAGCTCTGTTCAATTCCGGTTGGTTGCATTTTTCGGTCGGGTTTATTTGTCTGATTTTTTGCGTAACACGTGAAATATACATGTTGCCGAAATAATTTTTAATTTCGGACCAATTTCGGCCTTGTGGCATAACTCCACAGTGTGTAAACGTAATCATCTGAAATTTGTCAGAAGATTTCACTGGATTCAGAGAGTGTAGAGAAGTTCTTAAATAATTTCATCTTACAAATAGTGCTCCGTACGGGTCGGGTTGGTCGGGTTTGAGGGGATGTTTGAATTCGACTCGAATATTCATGTAACCCGACCCGAATTTTCGGGTCGGCCAACTATGTAACCCGAACTTGACTCGACCCGACTGTAGTTTGACTCGAATAACCCGGGTTGAACCCGAATTTATATGAAAATATTTTTTTTTGAATTTTTGATTGAAACATGGGCCTTATCAATGCTAATATTTATAATATTACGAATAGATCAAGTTTCTCTTAAGTCAAAAGGCTATGACTTAGAGAAAATATGAAAGTTTGATGTAATAATTAAATTTTTTCTTTAAAATATATATGTGTATAGTATCAGGTATATAATTTTAAATTTATGGTTTTTAGTTTTGGCAAACTATATTTTGACGGTATTTCCCCAATTACCAATTTTATGTCACCAAGTTTTTAACTTCTAGAGTTTTAAAGAAATAAATACTAATATTAAGTATATATTTCAATTAAAACATTACATTTAAAATTTTTATGACGATCAATTATGAACCAAAATGATAATTTAAAGTTAAAGGTATTAGAAATTGCAAAAATAAAAGCTCACTATGCAAACTTTTCGTTTCCAAGTTGAAATATTGATTCCAATAAGATCGATAGTCTTAGACATTATATTAATTAGTAAAGTATTTACAAGTATACAAACTAAACTAAAATAGTTTAGCATAAAATAAAATTTTTTCGTCTGGAAAAAGACGCGTTCATCCGGGTCACTCGGGTTGTTCTGGGTCAAAGTAATAGTATGACCCTGACCCGACGGGTCGGGTCATGCGGGTCACGGGTCATTAAAATTACCAATCCCGACTCGATTTAAAATCCGGGTCGGGTCTATCACCCGGGTCTGACCCGACCCTTTCGGAGCACTACTTACAAATGTTGTTGCGGTTAATTTTTTAAATCTTTCTATTTTTGGTTTGAAAGAATTTATGAAAACTGATAAACCGAACCCAAGAAAAAAAACAAGAAAAACATTGGTTTATGCTTTATTAAAAAAAGAAGGAAAACCGCTTCAAATTTCTTGTACCAAAGAATAATTTAACCTATAAAAGGACATTATCTAATATTATTTTTTCTTATCCGTTATATGCATCATTTATTTTAAAGAATTGAAAAGAAAATTATTAATATTAATAATAAATGCTAACCAAATGAAAATAAATGGTCATGAGGTGTAACAATATGATTTTGTAAAACTTTAACATGCACTTGAATTCCATATTATTTAGTCAAAGACAAAATTACTTTATAGGCGTTATTTGAATTCCATATTATTTAGTCAATGACCAAATTAACTTTATAAGCGTTATTTAAATTTTGCGTAACCGTTACACTAAATTCAAATACATTTCATTAAATAAATCTAATAAATCTAATATATAAAATTTTAATAAACTGCTACTAATAAAGAAATACGTTAATCAAAAAAAAAAAAAAATTTCAATAAACTGCAATAATTACACAATACAAAATTACACAAAATAACAATGCCTAATTATTTTGATTTTCTTTAGGTATTAAAAAAATCATTTTTTAAAATCCAAATGATTAACAAAATGATCATCGCCATGCTAAAATTCGTGAAAACCGAAGATTTTCCTAAATGATTACGCATAAAAAGGAAAAATTACGCTATGTTGTAGCACGCTATGTTCACATAATTTTGAATCAGTATATTTAATTACGATAAAGTTTGATAAGTGTAGATTATTCATGAATTTAAATTCTATTAACAGTTATGTATCTAATGATAAACTGATAACGACTAACCAAACTAGGGAAAATGTTAATAATGAGAACAATACTTATGTAGCTATTAGCTTGCACAACAGCATCACCCCATGACAATTATCATATAATCATATTACAATATTATCAAATCCAATTAATACTAAATTTGGTAACTTGGTAATTAGAACGGCGAAAGTATATGCCATTAATTCACGGATAACTAAACTACATTTAATCGAGAATACTATACAATAATGTTGATCATTTAATTATGTACAATTCACGTCTCCACATGAAAATCACTAATAAAGAACATCCTTCCAGTTTTAGAAAGATTTCTCGGAAGCCGTATTGTGTAACAAGACGATCACAATCAGTTTGAGTTTAGGCATTTTTTTTTATAGCGATAAATTGCACGTAATATCTTGTATAAAAAGTATTGCTCTATTAACTTTGGATAACTTAAAAGAGGTTTAAAATTCAGATATATTTATTTATATTATATGTTGCCGCTTTCAAAATCACGTATTGTATCTTACAAACTTGAGCTAAAGCTTTTGTTGTCGATGAAATTCTAATATATTAGTTATATGGCTAATATACTCGCATATTACTTTCCTAATTTTTCATTGAAAAATTACGTAATAGACAAACAAAGTACTAAAATGGTTGTTTGTGATAATTTTGATCTCCTTCAATCTTGTGAATTTTTATAAAATAACGATATATATCCCGAAAATATACAATTTACATAAGGAAATATTAAAGGGTCAAGATTTAAATAACGACCTAATAAGGTTATGACAAACTAATATTCGAAAATTCTGATATACTGTATATTAACTATATAAAATTCTCTATATGTCACCTAAACGCCTATTGTTCATATTTCCAATATATCTGCATACTACCTGCATCTATCTGCATGCACAATAATAAAAAAAAAAGTTGAGAAAAAAAAAATAAAAACATTAAAAAAACTGTCAAGGTAATTAACTGATTGACTAAAATCGGTTATAGTTTTCATATCTATTTGATTATCGAGTCTAATTCAAAATAATAATGCATTAGAGTGACAAATAACTTTAAAAGTGCATAAAATATATGGAAGTGCATTGCATATATATTTAAAAAATAATAAGCGTTTTTCTTCGCTTTATAATTTATTATATTAAAATATAATATATATTAGTAATAAAGAAATGCGTGTTACCAGTATATTGCGTATGAGCTATCTTATATCACCACAAAATAAAAAACACTGAATAGCGATATGCTGTGCAACTCCTTTAATTCAGTTAATAATGATTCCGCAGCCTTCATTGCTCTATAAAATAGCAAAATTTTTTGTATTTTGAAAGACATTAAATTGTAAAAAAAAAATAAAATAAAAATAAAATAAATAAAATGCCTGAAAAAGCTTCCCCGAGTACTAGTCATAGTTTGAATATTCATATTAAAGCTCCGTCACAACCTAATATAACTGTTGATGATTTGTTGTCAAGGAAGAAACTACCTGACGGAACAAATAAAAGAGTTCCCTGCGCATTTATTATTTATCGAATGGCTTTACAACGCGAACTTAAATCTAGAGGTCATAAGCTTACTTTGCCTCAAGTTTCTGTCATGGCGGCTGACGCATGGAAGATTGAACCTGAAGAAGTCAAACAAGGATATATTAAATTATCTAATGATGCAAAAGCTCGTTATAACGAAACACAAAGACGAAATAGCTCCATTATTGAAAATACAGGCGATAACAACACGGATCTTCCTGATAATGTCATAACAGATGAAAGTTCGTTTAATGATGTTGTTGGTCCTCACTTTTTCATTTTAGCACCCGAAAATACGTTAAACTTTGATTCTTCTAACAATTATATTGCTACCGAAAATTATTACAATAATATTGGTAATTTAGAAATTAATAATAACCTTACAGCCTTTGAATCTTCATTAGTTGAGCGTGTTCGTATATTGGAAGGTCATCTAAATTTAGTGGCTGAATTTTTGGGAGTTCAACTTTGGTGAATAGAAATTTATGTCCGGTCTGACAAGCACTTTAATTTTTTTTGCCACAAAATTTAGCCGTTAAAATATCAAAATAAATTATATATTAGTAGGTCAAAACGACGATATTATCAGAAAAATGTAATTAAATTAGCTGAATACTCTTGTTTCTTATCATTAATGTAACATAGTATGAACCATATCTTATGAACAATTTTATTTTCGTAATTTATCGTTATAAATTAAATAGTAATATGTAATTTCTTTTAAATTTTTTTACATATAATAAAACCACAAATAAAAAAATAAATAAGTAAAAATTTAAAATTTACTAAATACATTAGCCTTCGCCAATTGAAATGATTATTTATCATGCCAATTATTAGTGCACGTGTAAAATATGATTTAGAAAATTAATATATACTAATAACTGAAAGAATTTTCATCAACTAAAGAAATTATTTATTTATAAAGGCGCGTTTAAGTGTAAGTAAAAAGATATAAACTTTATTAATTATCAGTGATTTAACTATATTATTAACAGTTAATATAACAGATAACTCCAAATTTAATTCGATTGGTCCATTGCAATTATAATTGTTTTAAAATTAAGGATAATAGTTTAATGGAGATATCACATTATGCATGCGTAACAATTTTCTGTCACGTAATACTTCTTAGATATATATTTTTTTTATGATACACAATATTAAATAATTTGGCGTAAACGCACCACCTTTGCAGTTGACTAATTAATTTGATTTTGCGCCCTATATGTACACTTTGTCTTTGAAGTTTGTTAATGTTATTGTTTAATAATTTGTATAAACTGTTGTACCCAATGTTCAAATTGGAATCCATACCCCAAACCTGACCATGCTCTAAACTTAAATAGGTTAATTCCTTACCTAATTAGGTTTGGAATCGGAGCTGGATTTTGAGCTACATAGCGATATACACTGCGGCTTTCAATATACGATTGATCAACAAAATAAATAGAATTTAATGCAACATGTAAATTATCAAAAAATTATCAATCTAGCTGAATTGCTGAGTAATACAAATTTGTAGATTTGGCGTAACAAATGTTTATTACACACGGAACGTTAACTTTTTTAAAACAAAATAAGTACCTAAGTTCTTTATAATTTATCTCTAACATATGAATGTTTTTTTGCTCTCTACATGTCATAAAGTCTAAATATTCTGCATTTTAAGATCAAATGAACCTAGAGATTATTATAAAATAGACAAAATGTGGAGTTAGAAGTAGTATTTTGAAACAGAAATTATTATGAAATTGTTTCTTTAAACAAAAATGTTAAAAAATCAGTACAAACAATCAATTCAAATGTTTTATCATTTATTAAACAACATTTCAGTATATAGTAATTTCTTTTTTAAATTTTATATCCTATTTCTATTTTGTTTTTGAAGCTAATAGAACCCATACATAATCCGAACTACATATACTTGTAAAAACAAAAAAAACAAAATATGCAGAGTAGAATATAATAACTAATATAGGCTCGCCCTAAGATATAGAAAAACCATCTACCGTTCTAAATATGTTCTAAATTAACTACACGTGCAGGTAGAACAATATTCAAAAGGTAATGCAACCAAATGGTAAACTAAAGCAGACTATGATTCCCAAATTCACTATTTATAGACTCCCAGATAATTCCAGGCAGTTTGAACAGGCCAAGCATGAAATGAATTTAACGTTTGAATGTACCCCTATTGTTATTTCATTACAATCAGTGCCTACCGTCAGATGTGGATTGTCGCGTCAAAATGAAACTACCGAGTTATTTTTTGGTAGAACAGACGAGAATAATGGTGAATTTAGTTATGGTAAAGGTGGTAATATCAGAGGTAATCAGGCAGGGCCTGGAGTCAAAGATGTAAGTGGTGTAATTATCATATCGGTGCCTTGAGACAACTTCCCGCCATCAACAATAATCATGTTTTCACCATCAGAAGTGGAGGCATTCACTTAAAAAAACATCGACCCTGTTTAAAAGGTTGAGATCACTGAAATGAACGTGCGCTGGCATATTCCGATAATTCTCTATAACCTGGACGTATAAAATGTACAAGATCAATTGAATAAATACCATTATCCTATCGTCTGATAATAATGGGATCGAACAGGACAATTCCTTAATTTAAGACCATGGAAATCATAAGAGTGAAAGTGACTACCATTAGAGAAAGGTTGCAATTTTTATTTCTTTTTCGTTCTATTAACAATTCTTATCTAAGATTTTCAGATGCATTTTTCTTCTTCACTTAATGGTGGTCGAAGATGGTTGATAAATTTTCGTGTTGAATAGCTTTGATCAAATAATCGAATTACATTCACCAATATGCAAATAGCACTCTATTTTTAAGGACTGTTTCAAAGTAATTTACATCATATATTTCATCGCGGCTATACTAATTTTCGCCCCCAGTTCCATTGATTCTGGCTGGTGAACCAGGTCCGATTGATCAACATTTGGAATTTTTTGATTTGTAATCATTAGTAATTATCCGGACCCATGTCTTCTGCCGTCATTACATAAAATCCAAGCTAATTTACATCGGATCCGAGGCGAAAATTAATATAGCCCGTAAGTCACAAACTGTCTAACAATACCAAACTTGGCATTATTATATTCTTTGTAATATCTTTTTGCAAGCCACTGAAGTAACATCTCAATTGACACACTAGAGAATCTCTATCTTTGATTTTTTAAGAGTGATTTTACTAAGTACTATGGATTTATTAATTTGTTAGCTTGTAGACGCTCCTCATCCATACCTACAGGCCTATCCTGAAGGTAAAGCAAATATCTCGTCCTTCTGTATAGCTTCAGCTGGAGACGTCCCAAGTAAAACGGGTCTCCGAATTATTTAGCTCATCCAGTGCAATGTTGGTTCAGCATCATACACGTTCATACGGACTGATATTTGTGCTTTATCTTGAAGGATATTTCCAAAATTTGTCCCCAATCCGATAGGATCCTAATATTTGATCGTAGGCCCAAGTCGCCGAGACGTCATGTAGTATGTACTTGATTGAACCAGCATATGATTTTCATAAGCCATTGAAAGTGCGATATTAGATTGTTAGTATGTAAAACATTGCGCCAGTAGTTTGTATGAGGCGCAGCAGCGTACGAAAAATCCTCATATTTTTTTGTATAAAAATTTTATGTATGTTATCATTTTACTCATTAAATTGCAACTCAAAATATACAGTGCCTGGAAAAAAGTCAGTAAGCACGTGATGTTGATCAATTTTAATGCGAATTTTTAAAATTAAATAATTCATAAATTACTACGCCAAATTTAATTTTTTTTTTTTTATTTGAAAGACAAAGCCTTCAACTTTTTATTAATACTTTGTTGGGTAACCTTTACTATTTATAACAGCAGAGATACGACGAGGCATGCTACTAATAAGATTTTGATATTTATCAGCTTCAATATTTAACCATTCCTCTTGAAGTATTTCCCATAAATTCTCCCTGTTTTTTGGTAATGGCTTATGTGCCCGCACCTGCCTTTCCAATTCATCCCATAAATGCTCTATAGGATTCAAATCTGGGCTCTGTGCGGGCCAAGGAAGGCTGTTTACTTCATTTTCTTCTTCCCAACTCTTAACCACCCTTGCAGTATGTATAGGGGCATTATCATCCTGAAAAATAAAATTTTCCTGATCGTCTATATTATTAATAAATGGTAATAAATAATTTTCCAGTACATTCATATATACTGTGGCTGTTATTTTACCTTCTAATTTAACTAATGGACCAAGATTGTTTTTTGAAAAACATCCCCAAACTATCACTCCTTGTTGACCTGACTTTACTGTAGGTATTAAACACTCAATATCATATTTTTCATGTGGCCTTCTCCAAACCAATCTCCTACCATTTCCTCTAAATAATTCAAATTTGGATTCGTCGCTCCAAATAACACTGTCCCACTCATTTATCCATAATTTTCGTTCTTTTGCCCAGTTGAGTCTTTTAATTCTATTTGTTTCAGTAACAAGAGGTTTTCTTACTCCTACTCGACTATAAAAACCTTGTTCATGAAGATAATTAAGTAAAGTTTTTTTGCATACATGTGTGGAAGTAGAATCAACGAAATTCTCATGTAACTCCTGAAGGGTCATTTTCCTATCTTTTTTAAGAATTCTTATTAAATGTCGGCCATCCCTTTCTGTCATTTTAGGCGGTCTTCCAGTCCTAGGAGGGAGTGTTTCATCACCACGTATCTTGTAAGTAGAAATAACCTTATGAATGGTACAACTGGGACAATTTAATGCTTCAGCTATCTTTCGTTCACTTACTCCACATTTCCAAGCTCCAATGACTTCTCCACGTTCAAAAATTGTAAGTTCTCTTCGTTTGCAAGACATAGTAGTTAAAGAAGGTTCTAAACAACGCATGGGAAAAAATTGGAGACAAATTTATAATAAAATGATCGACAAAACTGGTTTTAAAGTTAAACAAATAAATGATCTACAGTCACGTGCTTACTGACTTATTTCCAGGCACTGTACATAATCTATGAAAATAAATAGAAACGGTACTTTAGAGGAATTGAGTGATTAAAAGGAGAAAAGCACCAATTAGGAAGTTGGGCTTTTGGACAAAAATTTGGATAATCGATAGATCAAATGATCAATCCCAGAAGTTTTAGCTTAGGTGGTACAGAAATGTCAGCGGATAGAAAATAACACATGACTTGTTCATGTATCACGTGGATTATATGTTTTGTGATTCATCGCTTGGCCATCGCAAAAGATCCAATTATGTGGATATTGTAATTTGATATTAAGCACTGCCCGACAAAATGAAATTGAAAACAAACGTAAAAAAAATAGTAATATGTTGTAAGTTCGTCAAGATTTTTATGAAAAATATATTCCTAAGATTATGGGCATAAATTTTCCAGTATTAAAAGATGTAAATTTCCTTTAAAATTACGTAATATTCATGCTCCAATTGCTCCAAGAACTAACATCAAATTCACTATCACATGGCGTATAACCCGCATTGCTGGTGTTTGAACTTTGAAGTTATGCGGTGACAATTAATATGTGACAAATAAGTTTCCACACCAAAAAACTGTCTCTCAGATAATGACAACGCGGCTTCGGTGATGAATATTACATGATAGTGAAAATTTGATGGTGTTACTGAGGAAGATGACTGCATGTCTTTTGCTGTTGCATTGGGTTTGGATTCATTTTATAAATAAATATATACATAATAAACTGGTTTATTTTTTATTATCAAATGTACGTATGTATCTTATTATAATAAATTATATCGATATTATATTCATCTTAATTGAAATAAAATATAAATATATCGGAGGAAAATAAGATTTCTTTATTACACTCTCGGATATTTGTAATCAAAATTCTATGATTATATAACTGATAATAAGAAAAAAAAATAATTTTGTAAATTTCTTTTATTTAAAATATATAAATATATATATATATAATGAGCTATCTGTTTAAGTGTAACATTGTTAATTCACTAACATATAAAATTACAAACTATGAATTCTGAATTATGTCACATCTTATCACTCTATTCTTATAATAATTTTTTTAGATGTAATATCGTTTATATATAATTTGTATGTATAGAATTCCAAAAAATACGCCTATACTGAAATAAACTTACTACTGATCTTGACGAAATTTTATTACATCATTAAACTTGGAGACATAATAGTTGTAGTAACAAATGGCTAAATAAAAAATATAAAATTTAAAAGAACAAAACTTTTTAATTTTCTTCTTATCTATATTTTTTATAACTCACCACTAAAATACCAACGTTTCTTTAAAATTTTAGTAGACAGCAACGTTTGTTTAAATTGATCATAAAAATCTAGTTGCGAAGAGGTCATTAAACCACAATTTCCTATTTCTCTTAAGTTTTTATAGCTATAATTTTTCATAATATTATTTAATCTATCAAAATTTCTAGGTTGCTCGTTTTGTTACATATGAGATATAACTATTAATGGTGACATACCAAAAAAACCTCCTATACATCCTGATAATGATGCACAAAAAATTTTTTTGTATAAGGTAATTGTTTACATTATATGTATTATACTGTATGTTAAGATATAAAAATGTTTAATTTATTTACTTTGAATCTTTTGGTATAGTATTTTTTTTAAATCTAACATAAATACCAAATCTCAACATAAAATAAATGATTTGCCCGAATATTCCTCTATATAATCCTCTAATACATCCATATGTTACTATATCATATATGTTCCATTGCTAAATTAACCATTGATTATCTTGTTACTGAATTATTAAAAATGGGTTTGTTGCTATTTGTCTTGTTGCTAACGGGCTAACCTACGGATGATTAATATTGCCAATGATGATGCTACTCCTTAAATAAAAAAGGAGTTTAAATTCGTAAAATCTAATTCTATGGGCAGAATTAAGATTATTAATAATTAAGTTTTAAATATAGAATTTAATTTTAAAATATATTTTAACGTAGTATCTGCAAAGACAGGTCCCGCGGAATAACCCACAAGGATGTAATCCTTTGCCACCAGACCTAATGCATTTGGGTTAAAATAATAATTTATTTCCGAGTTCATTAGTTAATACAAAAATAATAAAAATGAAAAATTAAAAAAAAGAATCGATAAAAAAAAAAAAATTTCTAATTTGCGTCGATGAATAAATATGATCTGCAATTTTCCCTAAATTAGATCAATTATATTTTCCCAAATAAGATATTCTTTAATATCTGGCCCAGCAAAATACATCATAGTATAATGTCATTGCGGACGCCTTAAAGTAATATTTACCAATAGTTTAAGGTCATACGGACCGCAGTAAACTAAATTTAAAACATATTTTGAAAATAGAATCTGAAACAGGGTGAATTATCTAGCTTCCAATAATGGGATGGTAACAATATACCTCACTCAATGTTTTATAGATTGGCTTTTAATTTGAGAAACAAAATTATTTTAACAATTAACAATTATTTTAGTCAGATCTTAACAATCAGTAAATATCTGACAGGATGATCAGAACTTAATATGGAATTACCATATATATATACACCCCAGCCAAATGATCGACATAGTTTATAAGCTGGATGTTCGTGCGCTAACTTATAGCTTATAAACTGCCCATGGGCATATGTAGCCCACGGGATCTGATTGGTTCAGAATGAGGACAATAATGTCCCCGTAATTATGGACTATGTTGTGCCTTCAGTTTAAAAATGAGGACAATAATGTCCTCGTAATTATGGACTATGATATGCCTTCAGTTTAAAAATGAGGACAATAATGTCCTCGTAATTATGGACTATGATGTGCCTTCAGTTTAAAAATGAGGACAATAATGTCCTCGTAATTATGGACTATGATATGCCTTCAGTTTAAAAATGAGGACAATAATGTCCTCGTAATTATGGACTATGATGTGCCTTCAGTTTAAAAATGAGGACAATAATGTCCTCGTAATTATGGACTATGATATGCCTTCAGTTTAAAAATGAGGACAATAATGTCCTCGTAATTATGGACTATGATGTGCCTTCAGTTTAAAAATGAGGACAATAATGTCCTCGTAATTATGGACTATGATATGCCTTCAGTTTAAAAATGAGGACAATAATGTCCTCGTAATTATGGACTATGATGTGCCTTCAGTTTAAAAATGAGGACAATAATGTCCTCGTAATTATGGACTATGATATGCCTTCAGTTTAAAAATGAGGACAATAATGTCCTCGTAATTATGGACTATGATGCGCCTTCAGTTCAAAAATGAGGACAATGTCCTCATAATTATGGACTATGATAGACCTTCAGTTTAAAAATGAGGACAATAATGTCCTAACGTAATTATGGACTATGATAAACCTTCAGTTTAAAAATGAGGACAATAATGTCCTCGTAATCATGGACTATGATGCGCCTTCAGTTTAAAATGAGGACAATAATGTCCTCATAATTATGGACTATGATGCGCCTTCAGTTTAAAAATGAGGACAATAATGTCCTCATAATTATGGACTATGATGCGCCTTCAGCTTAAAAATGAGGACAATAATGTCCTCATAATTATGGACTATGATGCGCCTTCAATTTAAAAATGAGGACAATAATATTCTCATAATTATGGACTATGTTGGGCTTTAGTTTAAAAATTAGGACAATAATGTCCCTATACATCATGGCGGATTTATAGAATACCCAAAAATTTGTCTGTCATGTCAAATTAAATAAATATTAGATGAGGTATTATTTTAGTCATCAAATTTCTATTTAAGTCCCAAATTTATTAGTGAACAGTCAAAAATGAGTTCTAAAAAATTTTTTTGTACCTTAAATCTTGCATCTAACCAATTTTCCCATTATCTAATCAATTATTTCAGTATTAAAGGCACATCATTATTTGACATTTTTTAGGAAAAAGCTTAATGTTTTGGTAAGTCAATTTTGATTTCTGAGGGCGCAGCAGGATTTTTGCCAAATTTCATAAATCCGCTGCAATAAATGATGGACTATGATGGACTTCAGTTTAAAAATAAAGGAAAAAATTATATAGTGGAACGGAAAGTTCACTATGACGAGCTTTGACTGTATAACTTTAGTTGCTTATTTAAATTTTTTTTTTTACTAGCTAGTACTAGTATTTTTAATTATCCAATCAAAATTATAGTCCAGAGTTTAAGTATTAAATAAGTTGCAAATTCAACTGTAAAGTTCTTTAATTAATTGCATATGGTTTAATATATTTAATTTCAATTTTTATATAATGATAATATACATGATTTAAAATGTACAATTAGCTTACTGGTATATAATGAATTGGTCTGTTCTGTTCTGATCCAGTCTGGTTTTAACAAAACTAGTCTTTTAACTAGAACTGGATCAAATCAGCCTTTGAGCCATTTTAAAGATTGTTCTTTAGACTGGTATAAAACTGAAATTATTTTGCTATATGTATGTAGCTTTGACTTAATCAGAAAGACAATGAAATTATCAGTCATAACTTAACAGTCATTATTTAATTATATCTAATTTGTAATAAACTGATATGAAATTTGAAATATGAAATTTTAATATTATATGATAATGAAATTAAATCATTTTATTGGATGAAAAATTTATAACCTTGGATTAAAGACCATAATAACCAGTTCTAGAACTGGGGAAATTATTTTATTACCAACTATAATGCTAACTATTCTACTATTCACTCAAATTATTTATCTTAAAATATATGTTATTTAAATTACTTAATATCTTTTTCTTATCTTCAGTACTTAAATCAGAATAATTACAGAATAAAACATCTTCAGGCCATCCTATTATAGTATATTTAGTTTGGTTATACCAATTTTTATAGGGTATTCTTTCTTTTGTTATCAAATCTATAATTAATTAAGTATAATTATTATTAACTTTCCATTATATTTAAAATTATAATTATTACTTACTAAATTTCTCTTGTAAATATTTTCTAACTTTATCACGTGCATTCTTACTATTTGGACATTCTTTATCAATAATAGATAATTGATCATCTGCACTTTCTATCATAGTTATATCCTCTATATCTTTTTGAAATGTAACTTGTTTAATAATTTCATTTTTAGCTGATACAGAATAATATAAAAAGTTAGTTAATTTTTATAACATTTGTATAAAATAATATTATTATACCTGATTTTTTTAAACAAGAAAAATGATAAAAACTGTTATGAATTTCGTCTAGTTTTAAGCAGGACTTGTAAAATTCTTCACCAACTGGAGTTCCAAAATAAGAGATGTTCAATTCTTTGCTTAAAGGAATCACAAGTGTCAAAAATTCTACATCACAGGTAATTTGTAAAGTTCGATACTAGAAATCAAGCATTTAATAATTAATTATATAGAATTTTATATTTTAACTGATAATCTAATAATATATATACATACCAATTTTCTAATTTCACAAATTTGTTTATTTAATTCAGCTTTGCGAAGTCTTATACTTTCTATTAATTTTGGTTCTTTATTGAATCTATTTTCAGATAATTCTTCAGCTCTGTTTTTAAAAGAATTCAATTGTTCTTTATTAAGCAATGCATATTCTTCAGCACATTGTTTTTGAGCTCCTGGAGTAGTAACTTTAATTTCTAGTAAATATATAATTCTTTTAATAAGTAAATATTTTATGATAAATTAAACCAATAATATTTATAGAACATACTATTTTTTTTGAACCATTCAGTTTGAAATGTATTCCATGAACTAATACTGCGAGTCTTTTTTGGTGCTGGTTCTCGATTATCTTTCATGATACTCTATAATTTATAAAAAATTTGGTCAAATCAAAATAAATTATTCTTTGAATTGTATTCAAAATTTTTAACCTTTATAAATGCTAGCTCAAGTTGGCATTCATCAGATAACATTTGGATTTCTGCATCATGTTTTTGTTGTAAAGCAATAATCTTTTCATATTTTTCCTGTGTAAGACCTAAATTAAATTAATTAACTTAAATATAAACTGAAAGTATAAAGTATTTTAATATTTAAAACATTATATTGTAATTACCATCGCCTTTTTCTTTGAAAAGTTGATCACTAAAAGAATCAGATATGAGATATTAATACAAGGTAAATAATTTTTAAACAGTATATCAAAAAAACTTTACGTTGAAATATCCATTATGAGATGGGTGTAAAGAGATTAAATGATCAAAAAGATGAAAAGATTGTGATGAAAAAAGCATGAAAATGTTATTTTAATTGGCTGTCAGCTATTTTGATCAAGAATTATGATTGGCTAATAATCACCTGAAACAAACAAACAATCATTTGTACAATAAATAATGAAAAAAATATGATTCAAAGTTTTGGTGACATACTTTTAATTACTAACTTATCAAATTGCTTCTCTTTACTGAATTTTTAGAAAGCTTTCTTATTCACTGTTATGGTATTTAACTCATTACCATTTCTAATATTTTCTCATTTTATTTTTTTAATAATTTTACTATTTTCTGAATTTTTTTGTTTTTATTATTTATACTTAACTCCTCTGTTTCTCTATCACTTCTTTTATCCTTCTCTAATCAAGAATCTCCTTATCTTTTAATCCAATTTACCTATGCTTTGAGACTTCTCAGAACTTACTACTTCTTGACATCTCATTTTCCAAATTTTTTCATATATATACGTCAAATATAAGTCACAACATATCTTCAACATCTTTGAATCATCTACTTTACAATGTTTATATTGCCAAATCTTGATGTTAGAAAGTCCACGCATTATCTCATATTGTAAATTCTTAATGTAAATAATCTTGATTTAACATTACTATGTTGTAAAGCTTTTCTCTTTCTTTATTATCTTCTGTAATTACATTGACTGCATCTATCCATAAATTAATAGAAGAATCTTGTTACAATGCTACTATATAGTAGTATGATCCCATGTTTCTGTTTCTTCATTACATCTTATACATTTCTCTGAAGAAGTTCCAAAAACTTTCCTTTGATATAATATTTCATATGTTGGCAATGTTTAAAGAAACTTTTTGATCCTAAAAGCTCTAATTTGAGTATCCATCGCATTAGTTGATGATTTTGATACACTTGTTTCATTACGAATTATCATAAACAAAATTGGCCAATTGATGTTAACTTATATTAGTTACAAATAGCTGTTCTAATTATTTTAATAACATAATTTCTTTCTTATTGTTAAGACTACTAAGGTCTTTGGCCCATTTCTATAACAACCTTCCATATTTTATTTTTTAAAAAAAAATTTGCACTGCATTTCTTTATTAAACAATACCATAGATATACATATTAACGTCAGAAATACCTAGAGGCATGTGAAAAAGCACATGACCCTATAGCAAACCAGTCTATTTAAATACAAAGAGCATATATAATTATATATACCTGAGCGTGCAAAAAGAACTAACAACAATATATAATCGATGTCACTCAACCCAAAAGAAACAATACAAAATAAAAAAAGAAAAACAAAAAACTTTCACACATAACATATATAAAAACTCTAGACCTAACAGAAAACTAAAATTTAACTAAAGTAAGATTACAAGTAACTTCCATTATACGGAAATGTGTTTAAAACCAAACGAAACTTTCATTAGTGACCACTCGCCCAGAATTATCACACCTCTTTTCCAACTTCCATCACCTATAATCCACTTATCCCTTTTTTTTATTTTTTTAATTTTAATAATGCATTTATTATCAATTACAAAAAGATTACATAAAAAAATTTTTAAAACACTAAAAAATAATTAAAAATTTTAATTATCTTCTATAACTAAAAGCATTTTATACTAAAAAATTTTTTTATACTAATTTATTTTAATACCCCCATGATTTCGTAATTGATATACCTTCCATTATTTCTAATATTGTTTTCTATATTTTTTCTTTATCTTTTTCTATATTATCTGCTTTTTTGTATTTTTTCTCGCTTTACCTCCTCCTTTTGCTCTTTTGATCTTTTTTACGTTTCTTTTTCTCACCTTTCTTTAAATCCTTCTTTTCTTCTATCGCCACTACATCTTTACATCTTTTATCCCATATTTTCAATCTTATATTCTCATAACAAAAACACCACAATTCTTCTATAATCATATTGTATTCTTTTTCTTCAAAATAAGATTGAAATTGTTATTATATAATCCTCTAAGCATCTCCCATTCTCTACTAAAACCTAATAAAATTCTTGTAGGCTTTTCTAATACTTGAACAAAATCCTATTAATATCTCATAATATTGTCGAATCATCAATCTTTTTTTCATCCTCCAACTTTTTATCGAATTCTCTATAATTTCTCTTACAGAAAATTCATTACACTCACATTTCCATTAATTATACCAATCTTCTTCTTCCTTATTGCATCTTGGGCAGGTATCATTATCAATCCAAATATTTTCCTTTTAAAAAGTACACTATATGTTAGTAATTCTTTTATCCAATTTTTAATTTTATACGCTCTTTCTTTTGTGTCCTCTTGCGCACATTGCCAAAATGTAAATTTGTTCCATTGCTTATAAATTTTAAAGACTTTACCCAATCGAATTTATTTCTGTAATTATAGGAAAATAAATCTTCAATCTTTTTACTATTTAAAATTTCGTTCTTCCATATCACTTCTGAAACTTTCTTTCGCCATCCCCTTAAATCTCCTAAAATCAAATTATATTTCCAATATAAATTGAATTCGTTGGTCACTAATCCCCCTTCATTAAAGTCTATCATATATGTTTCATTTTTGCTTTCTTTCATTTGCAATAGAATTTATCCATTTCTTCTTTACATATTTTTATATCGTTCGCCTCCTTCTCCGTACACGAAATCGTTCTTATATTCATTTGCGATCAAAACTTTTCTATTACCAATAACTCCATATTGTATTCATTATCTAACCTTCGTCTTGTACTTAAATTTTCTATAATTCTTTGATAATTCACAAAATTTCCCATCTAAACCTAAAATTAATTCGCTATTACTATTTAATAAAATGATACCTATTATCAAACATCTTAATAAAATTTTGTATTCATTCTCAAACAATACTTTAAATTTTCTGTTAAAATTAATCTCATTCTTTGTAACGAATTCTTCATGTCTTATCTTCCACATTACTAAATATTCAATCGATTTTTTCCCATTTTCCTTAACTTTACTTTTTAGTTTCATAACCTCTATCATTAAAAAATTTACCTTCCTCCTAAAACTAAAATCGTCTTTCTCTAAAATACTATTCTTTAAAATTCTATCAGATTTTTATTTGTATTAACCAAATTATCTATCATCTCAATTCTTGTATTAAATCTTTATTCTTTTTATTCTTCTCTTAAATATTTTTCCACCAGATCATTTATTTTTAATATTTCGGAATGTCTCATAAGGTTTGATATTCCAACCTTCGTTCCGTTTTCTAATAATCCTACTTTCTTCATTTTAAATAAATTAAACATTCAATTTTACTCTCTTTATTCATATTTTTTTTTACCTATATTCTTTTTACAACCCTTACATTTAATTAAAGTAGGTGAATCATCTATATTTATATTCTCATTTATCATGATCCAATGTATCCCTATCCTCTTATAATTTTTATTTCTTGATTTTTTCCTATCTTCTCCAAAGATAGGAAATCCTTTTTCATCATTCCATGTTATTAAATTATTTCTTGACACTTTCTCATTTTCATCAAAAATTTTCATATGAATATTATTTCTATCAAAATTTTTATTTTTATATTAAATTTCTCATCTCTTTATTTTCTCTCACTTCGTTTTCTACAATCTTAAACCAATTA